AGATATTATGTCAGAGTGAGGAAAAAATTCTGAAACAAGATCTCAGTGAATGTTGCACAAGCCTGTGCATGCAGGAGGGGGGAAAAGCCTGAATACTTTAAAATGGGTCAGTATGGGCTGGAGGGCTAGGTCAGTGGTAGAGTGCTAACCCAACATGCATGTGGCTCCAAGTTTGATCCCTGATACTGCAAGATACATCAAGCAAAGTTTATGGTGTATTAATCACCTTACAAAGATTTTTTGGGGGGAGGCGGGGAGGATAGCTCTGGCTGTCCTGGAACTATGTAGACCAGGGTGGCCTCAAACTCATAGAGATTTGCCTGCCTCTGTCTCTGTTGGGATTAAATGGGTGTGCCACCATACCCTGGTAAGAATTTTGCTCTTGCAGAGGACCTAAAACCTAAGTTCAATCTCCAGAACCCACATAGAGTGGCTCACAACCACCTGTAGCTCTAGCTCCAAGGGATGTGATGCCTCTGTGGACACCTACAATCATATGTACACACTCACACATAAACATACACATATGCATGGAGACAAGAGGATGTTGAAGTGTCCTCTTGTCCTTCCCAGTCTCTGCTTACTCCTCTGAGGCAGGATCTCTCCCTGAACCTGGGTCTCACTTGTAGACAGACTTTTCTGTCCCACTAGTCAATCCCCAAATAACCACAGAGACTTAATATTAATTATAAGTGCTTGGTCAATAGCTTAGGCTCATTTTTAGCTAGCTCTTATAACTTAATTAACCCATTTCTATATGTGCTACCTCATCTATGAACTTCCCATGTTGCTTCTTCTGCATCTGGCTCGAGACTCCTCAGACTTCTCTCCAGCATTGTCTCTGCTCCGAAAATCCTGCCTCTCAGCTTTTTATTAACAATGAGGGCAACACATTTTCAGTGCACAGGATTATTCCACAGCACTCTCTTTTCTGCCAGCTAGATGGGATGCCAGCAAGCCTCATCAATCCACCTGTCTCTGCCCTCCTCAGAGCTGAGCTTACAAGCATGTAGAATGTCTGTCTTGTCATGTGGAAACCTGGGTTTAAACTCTGGTCCCCATGGTTGTGAAGCAAGTGTTCTTAACCAATAAATCATCTCTTCATTCTCAGGGGGCAGGGGGAGACTCTTTAAATGCAAGTAAAAACACCCTCAAGAACAAAAAGAAAATAAGATTCAGAAACAGCCACCATGACGCTATATCAACATGGACACTGTGTGCCCTTCCTTCAGCCCAGTGATCTTGTACCTAAGAATTTCCCTGTAGAGACGTACACAGGTGTCTAGGTAGGCAAGGGTCTGGAAATGTGGGCCTCAATGAGGAATCAGCCAGAAGACGCCAGAGCCACAACCTGAAATACTGATGCAGCCCATAAAAGAACCTAGAATTCTCTATCTTGGGGCTGATTGTGCCCCTCCTTGGAGGGGATCTGACAAGCCTGTATAGGTCTTTCTGTGCTGAGTCTGTTGTTTCTGTGTGTGAAGGCTGCAAGGACTTGAGCACCTTTTAGTTGGTTCAGTCTTTATTTCCTACGAAGAAGACGTCAGGGTTTTGTTTTTTCTTTCAGTTGTTGTCAATGTGACAGAAAACCTGAGACAAACAAGTGAGGAGAGATGTCTTTGGGCTTCCCGTTTCAGAGGCCACATTCCAGTTCCTGTGGCACCACCACTGTGGGACTGTGTTGAGGCAAAACATCAAGTGGAGGGGCCTGGGCAAAGCTGTTCCCCTCATGGCAGCCAGGGAGCCTAGATGACAGGAGAGGCCCAGGTGGGACCCGCCCCTCACCTCCTGATCCACTTCCTCCAACTGGGCCTAACGCCATATTTAGCATACCCAAGACGCAATAACCTCCCAACAGCTGGAATGATGGGCTTTTTACAGGGAGACTTCATCTCCAAACCCAACAAACTCGTGTTTTCTGGAGTTGAGTGTTTTCCCTGTATTGTTTATCAGATCTAAAACTGTGTTGGCCTCGGATTCATCAAAGAGGCTTTTGGGGCTCAGTGGTTCCACACCATTGGACCTTGTAGGGTCACCAAGACTCCCCAGTTCTCTTTTCCACACCACACGGGGGATGCAGAAGGTGCTATGAGGTTGCTTACCGAACTAGTTGCCTCCAAACATCCTTCCTGCCGTTAAAAATCTTCGCCCTCCCCCTGCCGGGCGGCGGCGACACACACCTTTAATCCCAGCACTTGGGAGACAGAGGCAGGTGGATCTCTGTGAGTTCGAGGCCAGTCTAGTCTACAGAGCAAGATCCAGGACAGGCACCAAAACTATACAGAAACCCTGTCTCAAAACCCCCCCCCCAAAACAACAGCAAAAACCTTCCCCCCCAAATACCATGTACAATAGCTAAAACAGCAGCAGGGCCGGAGGCATAGTGTCCAGCATGCACAAAGCCCTGGGCTCGTTCCCCACCACCACCTAACTCAGGGGTGGTGGTGCACTCCTGTGATGCCAGAACTTGGGAGGGGGAGGCCGGAGGGTCATAGGTTCAAGGTCATTCTCAACTACATAGGGAGCTGGAGGCCAGCCTGGGATACATTAGACTTTGTCTCTAAGTAAATAATAAAGATAGGAATAATAATAAACAGCTTCCAGAGGCAGAACCTAGGGCACGAGAAAACAATCTTGAAAAGTTTTTATTATCGTTCCTATGAGCATGATGTGTGGGGACATGAGTGTACCACAGTGTGCGCAGAGAGGTCAGAGGACAACTTACACAAGGCCCTCCTTTCCTTGCACATTTATGTGGCTTCCAGGGAGGGAGCTCGGTTGCAGGTTTTCACAGCAAGCACCGATACTGCAAAGTCACCTTGCTGCCCATCTGAGTTGTTTGTGTGTGTGTGTGTGTGTGTGTGTGTGTGTGTGTGTGTGTGTGTACATGCTGCCTGATCTTGCCTTCCCCAAAAGACGTTGTCTTTATTATATGGGGTCAGGAGAGCATTGTCTGCCTTCCAAGGCTGATTGGCACAAACATCCTTGAAAAACCTGTGTGGAGCCAGGCAGTGGTGGCGCACACCTTTGATCCCAGCACTCAGGAGGCAGAGGCAGGAGGATGGCCGAGTTTGAGGCCAGCCGGGGTGAATTCCAGGACAGCCAGGGCAATAGAGAGAAACCCTGTCTCAGGGGAAAAAGAAAAAGAAAAGAAAGACCGGCGTGGAGAAAAGGCAGCCACTATCTGTGCTCTGCCACAATGCATGTGAAGACCCATAAAGAATTGTCTCCTGGGCTGGGGGTGTAGCTCCGTGATAAACAGATGGAGTTGGTTCTCTCTCTTTCATCCTCAGCTGGGTTCAGGAGATTGAACTCAGGCTTGGTGGTTCTTTTACCTACTGATCCACATCCTACCTGCCCTTAATACACTTTTAAAAGAAAAATGTATAAGGAACAAAACAAAACAAAAAACCCTGCAACAATGGTTAGGAAAAAAAAATTGGAAAATAAAAGCTATGAAGGGGATTTAGCTCTTCTGGCTGTGGAAAATACAGTATAATCCTCTATAATTAAACCGGTGATATCTTAGCATCAATTAGACAAGACACCAATGGGTAAATAAGATACAGGAACAGTACAGTAAAGGTGGATTTCAAATCATCAAGGCAGGTGGGGATGTAACAGGAAAGAAATGGGCGCTGCTGGGTGACTGAGTGCACACATGCCCACCGAGTGAATGAGCTGACACCACAGTATGTGTCGGGAATGTGACAGAGGCTTCCCTCAGTGTACCAGCTGCAGCTCCTGTCCCCGAGCCTGTTCCAACAGGTGGGGCGATTCAGGATGCCTGTTTATGGCTCAGCTCACCACACCCTGGCAGCCCAGCGGGCCAAAGTACATTTCCATATCTATGCTCAGGTCAGGCCAGGCAGACCTACCTCCTCCTGTCCGTCACTCCTACCTTCCTCCGTTCCTCACAGGAAGACATCATCAGCATGGTGGGGAGGCAGCCATGCCACCCAAGTCTATTGCCAGCCTGTGCCTAGCTGGCCACACGACTGTCAGTAAGCATTTCATTTCCTTGGACCAAAGTTTCCCTCATTTGCTCCTTAAGCAATTTGGCTAAATGAGTGATTTTCAACCACAGCTGTGCAATACAATCAGAGGACTTCAACCATTCGAGTGCCTACTGGCACCCCTGAAGACCACCTAACTCGGACTCCTGGTAGGGTGGCAGGCCAGGCACCAGTTTCCTGCAGTAGGTGTGCATATCATCTGCGACCTCTAGGATCCTCCGGTGTTCGGAGGCTGAAGACCACTCAGCTCACTGGATGGACTGTCCACCTGCTGTCTTCTGTTACAGGGATGTTAAACGCCAGTCACCCATGCATATGGTCTCAGTCCACGCTCCTCCTGCTTCGAAGCTTGCTTTTGAGAGCTTGGTACAGCAGCCTCACTGGGGACTTTGCCCCGCCCCACCCACCCTTCACCAAGTCTCCTGCCCCAGCCCACCTCTTGCACTTTGATGCTTGCAATCAAGGGATCACATTCACAAGACAGCCTGCCCAGGTATGGCCAGGGGCTTCCAGCTTCTTTCCAGCCATGCATAGCAACTGAGGGATGGGCTGGGAGGGAATGTTCACTTCCAGGAATCAAGGGTTTGACATTTCTTATCCCCGATATAGATCCACAAATCTTTTCCAAGGGAAGCTTGACTCTGGTGGAGGGTTCTGGGGTGCCTGGCTGGTCCCTGGTACTCAGGCCAGAGCTAAGGGCTCCATTCCCACCCAACTGTTACTCCTGTGCATTGTATCCAGGAGTCACAGCCTAGGAGGGAAGGTGAAGCTTGAACTTCAGTCTCACTTCACTTGCAGCATGCTATACAAGTCACATGGCACACCTAAGCCTGTGTACTTAGCAATAAACAAGACCTTGCCCATTTTACAAGGCCGGTGACAGATGAACATACTACCTTACCCCCCATACTTGGGTTGAGACGCCAGGAAACACTTATTTGGTTGTGAGCTTACACGTAACTTGAGAGGGGCCACTCATCTGTCATGGAGGAGCCTGAACAGGACATCAAGAAGCTGGCAGGTGAGCGGATCCTGTTTCTAATAGTCCTCAAGGGGAATGGCGGCAGAGGGCAGTGTTCAGAAGGTGGTGGCCAGTGCTGTAGGCAGTGGGCCAGTCATGAGCAGAGAACTGAAAGGCTTCTGTCCCTGCATCAACTATACAAATGCAAGCAGCAGCCAGCACGATCTGATAACTGGTGCTAGGAGGACCCTACGAGCATCTTTTTCTTCTCACCACCCCATGAGGAAGGTCTTCTTAGCTTCATTTTCCTGATTAGAAAATAAGCCGAGAGGTTTCATACCTTGCCCAAAGCGTCAGAACTTGTGTCAAAGGAAGAATTCAGGCCTGAATTTGTCCCCTCCCAGTTAGACTTGGGAAAGTTCCTGGATGAGTTAGCACAGTCCACTTACAAACTGGTGTCTTGAGATGCTGCTTTCAGACAGAAGCCTCAGCCTCCGGGACACAGGGCTGAGTCATCTCCATGGCTGAGGTTGGAAGGACAGACAAAACCTGTCAATCCCTGTGTGCTCAAGAAAGGGCCATTACTGCTGTGTGAGGCGGCTGTGCTGGGCAGGGCAGTCTCCTTGCTGGGAGTACAAGTAGGGCTTGCGTTTGGGGAAACCCAAGGCTTCAGATTTAGTGTTCTAGAGCTGTTGGCTTGAAATTATTCATTTTCACTTCCATACTGTTAAGTACTGTTCTGCCTTTACCTCACCTGGGCATCACTGCAATTTCCCCCTTATTATCTGCCTCTTCTACTGTAAAGACTCATTCATGTCTTTGGAGTTTCATTGTTGCTCTGTGGTGGGGACTGAACCTAGGGACTCAGGCATGACAGGTAAGTACTGTACCACTGAGCAATTTCCTCAGCTGTTCAAGGTTTTTTAAGACAGGGTTTCCTTGTGTAGCCCTGGCTGTCCTGGAACTCTCTGTAGCCCAGACTGGCCTCAAACTCAGAGATCCACCTGCCTCTGCCTCCTAAGTGCTGGGATTAAAGATGTGCACCACCCCACCCTACTCCCAGTTCCTTCAAGTGTTTGTTTTTGTTTTTGTTGTTGTTGGTTTTTTGAGACAGGGTCTCTCTGTGTAGCCCTGGCTATCCTCGAACTCAGCGACTCGTCTTCCTCTAAGGAAGATTTCTAATACATCTTTCCTTTCTATTATAAGCTTTGCTAGAGAGCAACACAAAACATTGCATACCAAAATACCAGGAAAAGTTAAGGGCATAGATTATAAATATTTCTTTCCCAGACTATGCACCACTTTAGAATATAGAATTGGCTTCCTTTCATGATTTGGCTGGTAATTAAGAAAAATCACTCAAGATCAAAACTAGGGTCTATGGGATGGCTACTTGCCATACAAGACTAAGACTGAGTCCCACTTAAAGGTGTGCTCTGACCTTTCACACACACACTGTGCCATGCCATGGAAATAAAATAAACTTTATTATTAAGATTAAAATGAACTACTGTCCTTTCCCTGGCCTGCCTGTGGAAGGGCAGTGGGAGGCAGGAAGCGGAGGCAAGTGCTGGGGACTGCTGCTTCTCAGCCCATCTCCTTCCCAATTCTCCGCCAGGTGAAGGAAGTCAAGGCACGAATCCACACTTGCCGACTGAGGCGTGTGACGGCAAAGCTGACACCATGGGTGCAGGTAAGGACCATGCTGTAGAGCTGTGCTCACCATGTGGTCTGCCCAGTGGAGTTCTAGTTCATACTGTCCTTGAGATAGGAAGTTGACAAGATTCACACTCAATGCCATAGTCCCACAAGACATTGACTCATCCTAGCTCTTAAGGGATGCCATAAGAATCATACCGTGATTGGTACCTTGCCCAATGACACATATTTCCCAGTAACTTCTCAAATGGCCAACTAAGTACCATGACTGCTACACATTGCCAATGCATTAAAATACCCACTGTGTATTTTACTTTTATATGTACGGGTGCTCTTTCTACATGTGTATCTGCACCATGTGTACGCCTGGCGCCCTCAGCGGCCAGAAGAGGGCACTAGATTCCCTGGGACTGGAGTCAAGACGGTTGTCAGCTATCATCGTGGGTGCTAGGAATGAACCCAGGTCCTCTGGAGGAGCAGCCAGTGCTCTTAACCACCGAGGCATCTCTCCAGCCCTACAGCACATATTTTAAATCTCTTCCTATGGGCTGAAAATATAAGCTCAGGGTAGACTGATACATGTACTTAACGCTCCAGATCCCCAACCACAAGAAAGGAATTAGCGAAGTGTGGTGTGCATGCCTGCAATTCCAGCACTTGGAAGGCTGAAGCAGGACTGGAAGGGCTTCCAAGGGTAAACAGAGGCTGGAGAGAAGGTTCAGTAAGCCGAGTGCTGCTCTTCCAGGAACCCAGTTAGGTTCTCATCTGGGAGCTCACAACTGCCTGTAACTCCAGCTCCAGAGCATCCAGCATGCTTTGGCCACAGACACCTGCATACACAAGGTATTCCAACAGACACTTAAATCTTTTTTCAAAATATTAAAAACAGCCCTTGAGCGACTGGTTGGCACCAAACTGCAAGCTTCCTGTTTGTAGTAGATCTGACAGGGGCACACAACTCAGGTCAGCCCAGCACTCTCAAGTCCCAGCTCAAAAAGCTCCAAGGTTTTTAGGGTCATCTTTGCTGTGATGACTGACAATGTGAACAATCTTTAAAATGGGTATTTTATCTAAAAACCTATGTTTGAATTTATGGGTGATCAGAGCTGGTGCTTAAAGTAAGAATTCACAACTCCAAGGAAAATGACTTCATTGAAATTGAACTACACAGACAAGAACTGAGTTATCAGAACCTACTACAAGTGAGCTGCTGTGAACTGGGGATCCACCCAGAGCAAGTGGACAAGTTGAGGAAGCTGCCGAACACACTGCTTAGAAAGGTATGCCACACACCACCAAGTACATAATTCTACAGGTAAATGATGTCACACAAAGCCAATTGTTTCGTTTTCATGTACCATGCACAGTGTTCAAGATGGTGGAGATGCCTATAGGAGAGCCACAAGGCAGCTTGGCCACTCTGAGTCACATTCCTGCTGGTTCCACAAATCTAGTTCAGACACTTCTTAAACACCTGAGTGACAAGTGATACCCAATTTAAGACTTTTATATTATCTCTGCCAATCTCTGCAACAGACTGGCTGATAAAAAGACAGCATTGTCCTCAGACTGGAACGTGGCCCGCCCTTACCGCTTAGGGAAGGTCCACCTTGGCAATCCCCAGAAATGATGTTTCTTTGAATTTTTTTTCCAGGCTGAAAATGCAGATCTCAAGTTTTAACCCCAAATTTCATTCCTTAAGAATCTTTTTTTCCTAGCTGGGTGTGATGACACACACCTTTAACCTAGTACTTGGGAGGCAGGGGCAGGCGGATCTCTGTAAGGCCAGCCTGGTCTACATTATGAGTTCCAGGACATCCCCCACCCCCAATGCCTCTGACAATTTTTATTGATATCTCATTGATGTACTCTTTGTAAACTACCATTAAGTCACAAGATAATCATAATTTCCAGACAGCTTTAATAGGAAAAATAAGTTTGAGCTGGGCTTAAGGGCATACACCTTGATAATCCCAGCATTTGGAGAAGCAGAGGCAGATGGATCTGAGTTCTAGGCTTACACAGAGAGCCCGTCTCAAAAACTACAATTTTAAAAATAAACCAGCTGCTAACGATTCATCATGGAGACAAAGACCCTGAAATGGCCAATGTCACTTATTCCAGTGACTTCACATAGCACTCCAGAATCACTTAAATCTTTCCCCAACTTTTAGGACAAAGACATTCAAAGACTCCAGAACTTTCAGGAGATAGAACTCTTGGTGAAGAGTGGAAACTCTGAATGGACTCAGCACACAGCATCACCTTTGACGGAGAGACCCTGCTACAACAGCGAAGCTGCAAAAATGACTTACTAGCTCCACGAGAGAAGGATCTGGAATCATTGTCAACGAGGCCTAGACCCACGTGACAATTAGCTAACCACATTTGAACTTTGAAAAATTTCCTCATTTCCGACCTCTCTGAGCAGGAATTGTTTGACAAACACAGCTACAGTACCCATGAGAGGCCAAGCTGATTTTGAAGTGTTGTACCCCAATACTGACACTCTACTACTGAGCTGCATATATGCCCAGGCCCACTTACCTATCAAATGGAATGACTTAGGATCTGAGTAAACAACTGACTTCTCAAGGCTGAGACAACTTGTGAAAACAGCTCACACCACTGTAGTTGGTGGTGGCTTCACTAGCTTATCTAAAAGGTTGGTGGTTGTCATATCCCCAGCTAGTCTTCTGAAGTTCACTTTTGGCACGTCTTAGATGGCTGTAACCTGCCCACATTCACTCACCCATTCCTCTTTACGTAGCCATTTCTCCTCAAATATCAAATCACCTCTGATCTTTATGAAATGACTTTAATTGAAACACCAGGGCTCCTCAGGGATCCACACATTCTATTTGTATTCCCAGCTCAGAGTCCAGTCTCCTCATCACTGCCTTCCCAGCAGCTGAGATGTGAGGGAAGGGAAAGGCAGAGCAGGCACTAACTACCCAACCACTGGAGGAACACGGCTTACACAGCAATACGCTTGGTATCAGAACTATGGAAGGGGCACCATCAGGACATGCACTTTGGAAGTGTTCCAGCTCCAGTTCCAGTAACGACAGACAGGAAGGAGCCCCAAGTGACAACTCCCCTGTGTTTCACTTTCAGTAATGAGGAAAATTTAGCAGGGGTGTGAGATTGGTTAACAGCTAGAAATCACCATTAGCAGAACGCTGAGAACTGTTTTTAAATTAATAAATTTGTTTAGAATAAATTTTAATTGAAACACAAATTTATCAGGAGGGTAAGGTTATCCTAAGGGCAGAACCTATGTAGGTGTTATCCAGTGGCTAGTGTGAACAGTAATTCAACCACAAGGCTAAAGAGCAAATTCTTACCTGCTCTAAAATAAGCACACTCCACTACAAACAAAATGGGGGGGGGGGCGCACATGCACGGGGCTCTAGTAGCCCAGGGGGCTTTCACTTCCTATGGAGCTGAGGGATGACCCTGAACCTCTCATGTGCTGGGATTACAGATTCAAAGACACTTTTCTTTAAATCCTAAAACAAAACTTGAGAGTTTCAAGAGGAAGTACAAATAAGTTTTACTTTGTATCTTGAGTGTAAAAACAACAGGAAAGAACTCTACTAATAACTCCCAATTTTAAGTGGTATGAACCATGTAGCAGAATATTAGACTAAGAAGTCCCAGAACATGTATGGGTTACAATAAATTCAACACCCTTGACTCCCTGATGCACACAACCTGTTTCTTTACAGTGACAGAGCTTGTTAGGTAACGCACCTCCGTTTGTGCTGTGCTCGTGGTAGTAGTCCAGATGCACTCCCACAATGAGATAAGAGGCAAGGGGCGGGGGTGGGAGACAGGGGGCGCTGCTCCTGTTCTCTTTACTGACCCACCCCATTACTAAGATCCTCAGCATGCCAGGCAATCGTGGTGCACACCTTTTTTTAACCCTAATACTCTGGAGGCAGAGGCAGACAGATCTCTACGAGTTTGAGGCCAGCCTGGTCTACAGAGCTAGTTCCAGGACAGCCAAGGCTACACAGAGAAACCCTGTCTCAAAAAACCAAAACCAAACAAACCAAAACCAATCCTCAGCTCACTTCAAAAGGGCTGAATCTCACCTGAGCAGCAGGATGTGGTGGAGTAACTGCCAGGAACTAATTCTTGGCTATGTGAACCCTGAGCATCTGTTCGGGGTTTAAGTCCTGATCATTTTGTCTTAAAGAGAGACAACATTTTTTGCTAATACTTCATGGTACTGAACCCTTCCTTGGAAAGCTACTTAGGATAGAAGCAGCCATTCCCTAGTTGCCACATAAGTGAGGGAAAAAAAAAGAAAAAAAAAGGTGTCACACATTGTGTGCATGCCTTGTGTGTAGTGTAAGTGTGGTGGTGTACTTATAACCTAAGCAGTTGGGAGAAAGATTTCCAATTTCCAAGCTAGCTTGGGCTACACAGTGAGACCATTTAAAGAATGAAAGGAGAAAGTGTGCCTTTTAAAATCTGCCATGCATTAAGGTTAATTCAGTATGTTTATTAGTCACTACCTACACCAAAACCTTTCCCACTTAAATTTTTATTAAGAAATAGCAAATACACAAAAGCACACAAACATACAATTCAAAAAGAAAAGAGCCCGCCCAGCTTGAGAGAGAGGAGTGGCCATTCCTCTGAAAACCCTTTTGCCCTCCAAGGTCATTCTCAAGGAGCCACTAACTGATCGTCAACTGTTTGACGTTTCTTTCATTTCTCAATGTATTTTTGAGAACAGCCTGGTTTGACCTTTACCAAAGTGAACCATAATGAATAGATCCTTCTGTGGCTTGCGTTTTGGGGATATTATTATATCTTGCGTCATCCATGGTCACATGTGGAGCCAAAGTTCACGTTCACGCCTGTGAATTCCGTGGTGGGGATGTGTCACACTAGTTATCCAACACAAGTGCTGATGGGATCTTCCCAGGGTTTGTTGGTTTGGGTTTTCTTTTCTTCATTACACAAGATGACATTAAGACATTTGTTCATCCATCTCCTGGCAACATTTAAGAGTTTTTCAAGAGTATGTACCTAGGGCTGAATACAGCACTTAGCTGGGCCACACTGTTTGCAAAGTTGCTCCTGAATAACCTGTTGATAGACAACTGATCTACTTGCTATGGCTAAGGGGAAGAAATAGATCGACTATGAAACTCTGGAAATGCACTTTAATAGAAAATCCATAATTCTGACACAATGAAAATGTCATTTACCCTGTTTCAGCTAACTTGAAACACACTCTTTAAAAGCAACATGATCAACTTCAAAGTGTTGTATCCTACATCTCAAATAAATGTTTCCGAATATAGTAACTGAAAATGGCAAATTCAGAACATATATGATGGACACCATCATATATTAGATAGATAGATAGATAGATAGACAGACAGACAGACAGACAGACAGACAGACAGATATTGTGCATTCCCCACCTCCACCTCCTACTTCTTGCCCCACTCAAGTGCTTGAAATAGGCAACATTGGGAACTCTTAGAGGAGCAGACAGGTAGGAGCAAAGGAAGACACAGATCACTGAACACTTCCGGCTGTAGCTTTTAAACCAAGAACAGGCATTACAATTGCAGTTATCAAACAAGTTAAAATGCATAGTCATCCTGGGTCCTTTCACAAGCAAATAAAATCCAGTCAAAAACACAAGCTTAAAACTCAACCCTGAATGAAGTGTCACCCCATAGAATGTTTCATGCACATAATAAGTTAGGCATACTCATATCACTCATCTACAATGCATCTATGCATCTTTAAAAATGTAACAGATGTGAACTCAAAAAACTTCACTACAAAATTTTCAGTTTGTACATCCCTAAAATCTTTAATTAGATGGCTCAGCTTAAAGGTTATGTGAGCCATGTTCTTAGACCCTGGAATGACCTTTGTCCTCCTGTGACACTAGTTGCATTCAAGGTGTGAAATGCTCTAGAAGAAACTCTCTCAGCAGAACAGCATGAACAACTTAACTCATGATTACACAGGTACAAAAGTGGTAGCTGGGATCTGCTGAAGAGGCCATCCGTCTAGTCTGTCTACACTCTCCAGGAGACGCTCGTCTTCTGCCCTTTGGAGATTTACATGGTAAAGGGCCATCAGTCTGAGAACTACAGAGTAAAAGCTCATCAGATTTTACAATGAGCTATTTGGGGAACCTCCTCCTTCAGAGACAAGTTAACAGCATAACTGAGACTTGCTTAAGAATACAGAGTAGACACACACACACACACACACACACACAAACACATGCACACACACAGGAACTAGCTACAGCTATGAGTCTTATAGGAGATAAGTTAACAGAGATTGATTACACTCTTATATGAGGTAAAAAATTCCAAAATAAAAAGCACTTTAAAAAAGATTAACTGCTTGCTCTGATTTCAAAATTACACAGTAACTGGATTAAAACTAGCTCTCCAAAAAGACATGACACATTCACAATACTCTCTCTCTCTCTCTCTCTCTCTCACACACACACACACACACCAAATAACAGAGACAGCTGTTTGGTCTACACAACAGAACTGTTTCTTCTAGTAAGTTAGTTCCTGGCTTCTACACCAAACACCAATGGTCAAGCCTTTTCGAATCTTAGATCTGCATCAATAGATCTAAGTGTTCACAGGAACCCACTGCTGTACTCATTTCATTTCACTGTTAGCCTAGACGAGGCAGAAGAAAGCAATCTGGCATTTTAGTACTTGAGCAGATTTCTTACATTATGTTCTTAATACAACAATGTCATCAAACTACATGCTACACAAAGCAGAGCTTAGTTAGTCAGGTGACTTTGCGTCTGCCAGACTGTTGTTGCCAACTGCCTTAATCTCCCACAACTTCAGAAACAGCCTCCCCACCAACTGCTGTGTCTCTAGATCAGCCGGGGAAGCCAAGAGGGCTCTGTCCCCATTAACATTTCTCATATAGTGTCTCTAGAAGTGATGGCTTCATGATTGTCAAAGTTTGGTAGAGAGTATTTACTTAATAAATTCTGTAATGATCCATAACGCACACTAGAAGGAACGCAGTGGCACAGCAGTGAGAAAGGGCCGAGACCCAGTCTCCCAGCCCTAACACTGATCAACAGGAAGCCACTCCCTAGATGAGCCATGTGCTCAGTTTCTTCACCTATAAACTGACGTTAGTATTGAGAAGCTGTAAGTCACAGGAACTGCTATGATATATATAAACATATGTACTTGGGGATAATACTTTATACAGTCGATGGAGTTAGGTATAAACATGCTGCTACTTCGATGTGAAATTATCACCTGCTTTGTTTTTCAAATATCCTTGTTAAATATACTACACATTCCATACACAGAAATATATACATTTATAAATGGTAAGACTGGGTTGAAAGAAATTTTTGGTGTAGGATTTAAAGGGAAAAACCTAGCTGAAAGTTTCTGAATGTTTGCCTGCATTGTTTCATAGTTCAACAGAGGAAGACAGAGTTTGTAAGGTTATTCAGAACCTTTCGCTGCTATAGAAACCTCTCATGGTGTAAAAATATATTCTAGTTCACTGTACACCTTTGCTATTAAAAGCAAATCCAGATTTATTCATAACCACCCAAAATTGAAGCACCATTAAAACATCAAATGGGAAGTTCTATAAAAATTACCCTTCAACAGGACAAGTTAGAAAAACTGTTCACTAACACTTGTAGTAATAGTGTGCCTCATATTTAAAAACCAGGGACTAGATTGGAGTCAACAGCTTTATTAGAAAAAGAGCAATACTAAACCTTTCAATGACACAGACAATCAACTCTGTAACAGAAAGTCAGAGATACTTTATTGTCACTTCTAAATCCAAAGGCTAAGTATAGCAGAAGTGTAAAAATGGAATCCCACTCAGTCTGCTTCACACGAATACTAACGTTTAAGCCCGTTTTCAAAGTCCCAGACTGAAAACTTGCAATTAAACACTGAGCAAGCCACATGTTTAGGTAATATTTCTTAAAAAGTCTTAAAGAAAAAAATATGATACAGGACCTAAGTTTTCAAAGTGGCATATGTGCTAATAACACATTTTCTGAAATCTGGTAGGTCACGACAGTCCTGAATTAATTTTTAATAATAATAATAAAAAACAAATAACTAACTGAGCTTTATACTTTTCTATGCCACTAGAGCTTTCTTTCACCTCATTTTAATGTCGAGCTTCACTTTATGCCGTTTTCAGTATTCTTCAAAAAAATCTTCAACAGTAGTCCTACAATGCAAAATGTGGGGAAAATTGATAATTAGACAGCATATAAAAGGTAAAATTTTATGACTAAGTGTTGGCCCAGTCGCTAACTGCTAATCATGACACATGTGGATTTGAAATGTCTGTGTTGTTTTTACATCAAGGCATCAACGTGGTTCTTAGAGCCATGTGCCTGTGTATGCTGCCTATGTGTGAATGGTTCACACAGACATAACTATGCTGCTTTTCTAAAACAGGAATGCCACCAACAGATCAACTAATTGGTACTTCCTTTCATTAGGATTATTTCATCCCACGCCACTAGCCCAAAGGTTGAAGTTAGAGGTTTTAAGAACACCTATGAAACCTAGCTTTGAAAAGTTCTTTAAGAACCCAACCTCATCTGATCATCAATCAGATCTTCGTGTCACTGATCCAAAGTCTGTCTTTGCTAGATGCTGTTGCTTTCAATGTCTCAGCCAGTGACTATTCCTCTATACTATGGCTGACTGCAAATTCTCCTACACAGTAGGAAATGTTAAACACATACCTCTTAAAGACTTGAGAATTGCACTGAATGTAACAAGGCGGATAATATGAGGTGTTTATTGTATTTAAAATTCTTTAAAGATATCTAATTCTGGGCACCACTGCATCCCTACACACAGTTGAAAAAAAATTCCATTCTGTTAACATATGATTTGTAAGATTTCACGCAATACACAAAAAAACCCCTCTGTGCTTCTTGTAAAGAACAAAAAGGATACACAACAGTTAAGCGTAAAGGTCACAGGCAATAGCATTCAAACACGGATGTGGGTAGAGAAAGGAGTACCTGGCATGAGTACCTGCTTAGTTTGACTGAATCCTTGATTTCTAATTTGGCTTTTCATGGGCCGCTCACAACACCAACGCTGTGTGAGGTATGGTAGTCAGCTGCAATAATTCATAAACCCTACACTTCCATCAATCCAATGCTACTGGCTCTCGAGTTACAGAACAAACTGCATTAGAATGCAAGGCAATAAAGCAAAAAACTAGAAACATCCTTGACAAAGAAATACTAGCAGTTTAATTAAAACAAAGTAGTCCAACATGTGCCTCAGAAATAGTTAAGTTTTTACAGCATATGTCTCTGCCAATGTACCAACACAAGATGGACTTAATACCAAAAAGAAAAAAAAAAGAAAAAAAAAAAAAACAGTTCAACCTTTTTATTAAAAAAAAAAAAAGAAATGACAGCAAAATCCCTAAAAAAAAGGATAATTAACTTTCAATGGCGACTATATTACATACGTGGACAGTAATTTCCAAAGAGGCACACTAATGGGGGCACGAGTCTGCTACAAAATAGCTGAGACAAAACAATGTACCTCAAAATGTTTTGCAGGACTACACTGTCTTTTCCTTCAGAAGAGGCTTTTGTATGTCTTCTTACTCGGCTTAGATCCATCTTCATCTGTGCATACTTACGCTGCACTGTCAAACAGTAACAAAAAGCCCTAATCAAAGTGAGAAACAATACACTTACCTCTGTCTGATCTGAGGTCTTATCAGATCAGTTTTAATTGGACTGAGTGTCACCTTCAGATTTAATGTCTTCACTGGTCCCATTGACCTCATTCTTAGTATCACTTTCCTTCGAGTCAGTGTTTGTGTCTTCGCTTTGTTTTTCTCGACTACTGGACTTCACACTACTTTTTTTATCATCAGATCCCCTCTTTTCTGCCATAAAAGAAGACATTGACCATGGAATTTAGAGCAAAATACAACAAATACATTACTCTTTAAAAAGGGAAACAACAGAGATGAACAGATCCATTTCCCACAGCCTGCAAGAAACAGTTTGCAGAATTCACCAGTGATGTTGTTTGTAGTTTATAGGAAAGGCCAAGAAGAGGACTGAAAGGAAACAGAAGGTAAACAGCACATTTTCTCAAACTTGTGAAAAGCTGCTAAATTCCCCTCAGAACTGAAAACTGCAGGACCCCTCATTCTAGATAAAGAACACACAAAGGCAACGGGGAAGATGTAAACGACAGTTCACAAAGCTGTTAGCACCAAGTTAGTTAATCAAGCTGCGAGGGCAAAATGGTAACCAGAAAACAATTAACCTTTAAATGACATGTTTACCCAATGACATGTTTTATTAAAAAAATGTATGATTATTTAAATATCCAAGAGGGGCATACCCAATAAAAAATGGGATCTTAAAAATTCAAGACCCCAGACCTCTGTTTTCACTAGATGTAAAGAAATCTAAGCGTTTTTTTCCCTTAAGGAAAAATTAAAATCAATTCAGCTACAAAAAGTCGTTTCCACCTTCCCCACTGCTGTGTTGGAAAGGGACACCCCAGGCTAAGGTGAAGGAGCATACTCTGCCTTCCAGTTCTAAGTACCCCTCTAAAAAACAGACTCTGCAGAAACTTCAACAGTTAGACACCTTCCATAAAAGCTGTCTTCCCCCTCAAAACTAAGTATAACTAGTCTGGTAAAGTAGATCATGATGGGAAGATGTCTAAAGAGAGGAACTCTACGTGGACGGCCGTTACAGATGCAGCACCAAGGATGGAAACGCAAACACAGTGTTATGAACTGGCCCTCTTATGTAAAGGAGTGTGATTAGGTCCAACACTGGTGAACCAAGCAGAGCGATGTCTAAGGTTAACCGTAAGACCCGCTTCATGTCCTTCTGTCAGCTTGTGGGAACTATGCTCTAACTGACCTTGAGGGAAAGTCCTCCCTTTGTGCCTTATGGGCTTCTCCGGTGCACAGGTAGCTTCAAGAAGGAAGAGTCGTCTTGTTGCCCCGTAGAGGACTAGTAGTCCAAAAATCTTATCTTCTGGCCTATGTAAATATGGTAGATCTTAATAGTCCTAAGGATATCCATAATGTGTGGTGGATTTTAGAGTTATGGGTTAAATGGAAACTCTCTGAACAAAGAGAGCACCCAGGTAGCTAGGTGTGGGAAATGACTTCTCACTTGTGGCGCTAAACTGCCTCATTCACCTGCCATTATCAAATGCTTGCTATTGCAGACACCTGACCCCAGAGGCCAGAATACTATTATTTGTACTCAGAAGTGTCTAGAACTTTCAAAAGTCAATGGACTCACCACTTGGAAAGTTAAACTCTACTGACAGCATGCCCAACCAAGATAGGCCTGATAGTTTTCTCAGTCTTCCTTCTTTTCCCAAGTCTCAACAGGAAACTTAAGAGTTTTACTAAATTCATTTTGTCACAGGTCAATAACTCAGGACATATTTTTGCTTTCCCTAAAAATTGTACAAATGTGTCTATTTAAGTGGCATGACTGGACAAGAGCAACTAATCAACAGCAGAACTATGGGGTTGAAAGCCTCACAAAACATAGGTGATTAATTTGATCTGATGCAAGAGTCACCAGATGACTCGACACCAGGTGACTCTTAAAACTGCTATCTCACTCCAAAAATATGCCAAAGCCTTGCTAAAAGAGGGCAAGAGAAGACCCTCTCAAACAAAGCAGTAACCCTTTACCCCAAATGCCTTTTGAATCCCTTTTGAATTAAAAATGGTAAACACTAAAGCTCCTGAGAGGTGCACATGTGCCCCTTACCGAAAATGATCAAGGGCAAAAAAAAAAAAAAAAAAAGAAAAGAAAAGAAAAGAGAAAGCAAGCCCTTGTATACTGCTATACATTGAGTCTTTAACTCAATCTAGGAAAAACTCCTAAGTCTAACAAAATAGCTATCAAAAGAAAACGTGAGTGCCATACACATCACCAGTGTCACTTAAAGCACCACAGAACAGACATGCACAACAGGAGAGGATGGGACCAGGACTGAGAAAATCAGAAACATGCCCTTTCTCTCATCCTTAAAACCACACAGAGCTAAACAGCCCAACTAATATAAAATCAAAGAAGCTAAGATAATCCAAAAACAAAAATAAGTTTTAAAACTTATTTTGATGATTAAAAACATTATCTTGAAGTAAAGACTAAAAGAGATTATTTTTGTGAAAACAGGCCAGACAAAATTTACAGTCCTTTACTATCACTAATATAAACCAGCTACCCGGAGCTACAGAAAACCAAAAGAAAGCAGAGGGGATAGCAAGATGGCAACATAAACACAGTTAAGACACGGTAAGTAAGTATTCACTTCTGGGAACACAGAAGTTAATTCCTAAGTTAGGTGAATGCTGCACATAGGTAGGACCAACGAACAACGCACATCTATTTTGTGAGACATTATGGAATATTGCAGTTTTTAAAAAATGTAGCCAAATAAGTAAGGTTAAAATACTCTACAGCCTAAGCATTCTCAAAGGTGATACAAATTCAGAAGAATCTATACGAAAAACCTTTAGGTTACCAACTGAATAACGAGGCTTTAATATGATCTTAAAACCTCAGGTAGACTTCCATTCTTACAAATCAGGGCAGGAAAGGAAAGAAATACAGCTTGAAATCGAACTGACTGTTCTGGCACACGGTAAAATGGAGATCTGGGCTATAGACGGCACCTCTCATAATAAACCAACCTTTCTCCTTGGACTTTCTATCTTGTTCTCTGTCCCGACTTTTGCTCCTGTGTTTATACGACTTTCGATCTCGACTTTTTGATCTTCTTCGATCCCGACTTCGAGACCTATGTTTTCTTTCTGATCTGTCATGGCTTCTGCTTCTTCGTCGATCTCGACTTCTTAATAATTTAAAGAGAGAGCAAACAACTTCAGCTGACATTACTAAAAGGGATCCTCAGAGAAGCATATACTACTATCCAATAATTAAAAAGATTTAAGTAAAGCTTTCCCTTAAGAAATAAAATAAATGCCTAGCTTGATCTACAGAGTTAAGTTCCAGGACAGCTAGGGACATACCGAGAAACCCTGTCTTGAAAAACCACACAAACAAATGTAACAGAACATTTTACATTAGAAATCTCAAGGATGACAATTATTGAAAATCATGCCGGGCGGTGGTGGCGCACGCCTTTAATCCCAGCACTCGGGAGGCAGAGCCAGGCGGATCTCTGTGAGTTCAAGGCCAGCCTGGGCTACCAAGTGAGTTCCAGGAAAAGGCGCAAAGCTACACAGAGAAACCCTGTCTCAAAAAAAAAAAAAAATCTTGCTATTAAATCCCAGCATTCTCTTTTTTTTTTTTTTTTTTTTTTTTTTTTTTTTTTTTTTTTTGTTTTTTCGAGACAGGGTTTCTCTGTGTAGCTTTGCGCCTTTCCTGGAACTCGCTTTGGAGACCAGGTTGGCCTCGAACTCACAGAGATCCGCCTGGCTCTGCCTCCCGAGTGCTGGGATTAAAGGCGTGCGCCACCACCGCCCGGCAAATCCCAGCATTCTCAAGCCTGGCGGCGGTGGCGCACACCTTTAATCCCGGCACTTGGGAGGCAGAAGCAGGCAGATCTCTGTGAGTTGGAGGCCAGCCTGGTCTACAGAGCAAGATCCAGAGGACAGGCACCAAAACTACATAGAAAAACCATGTCTCCCAAAAAACAAACGAACAAAAAAACCACCACTACCAACAAAAACCACCCAGCATTCTAGAGGCAGAGGTAGTTGGATCCCAGTGTGTTTGAGACCAGCCTGGTCTACACAGTGAACTCCAGGCCAGTCATGGCTACATAGAGACTCTGTTTTGAAACAAAACAAAACAAAACACAACACAACAGAGATGAAGTGCTGTGGGATGTTCTGTATGACAAATGTGTTAATAAATAAAACACTGATTGGCCAATAGCCAGACAGGCAGTATAGGCGGGACTAACAGAGAGGAGAATTGAGGGAACAGGAAGGCAGAGGGAGAAAATCTGCCAGCTGCTGCTGCCATGACAAGCAACATGTAAAGATACCGGTAAGCCACAAGCCATGTGGCAACTTATAGACTAATAAAAATGGGTTAATTTAAGATATAAGAACTAGATAGCAAAAAGCCTGCCGACTAATAAAAATGGGTTAATTTAAGATATAAGAACTAGATAGCAAAAAGCCTGCCACGGCCATACAGTTTGTAAATAATATAAGCGTCTGTGTGTTTATTTTATAAGTGGGCTGTCGGACTGCCGGGGCTTGGCGGGACCCGGAGAAAAAACTCCAGCTACAATATATCATCTGGTATAGTCTCTGGAAAGATTATCTCAAACCCCATAACAGAAAGGAACTAACCAAGAAGATGAAAGCTCACTTTTCAACTCTCATAAATCTACTTAGCACATAGGGATACAGTCTTCTATTCACAG